TGATGGCGCGCTTCCAGGCCCTCGCCGCGCCGCACACCGCTCGCAACCTCGAGCTATGTGGCATACTCGCTGGCATCCTGGTAAGTGGTGACTTACTACTGTTAACTTATGATATCCTAGTAGATGTAGACACTTTTCCTTTTAAAGTTCTTTTTTAAATTCATTTTTTACGTTATTATTATTACTTTCAAGTCGGTGTCAGTCAAGGTAGATTCATTACTTAAGCGTTACTACACGTTAAATTGTCAATTGTTATGGTAAAAATGTGGGAAAGACCTATGTAGAAATATCACTCCACACCTCGGCTGACATCGACATCAAAGTAATAATAATTGTACAATATAGACATAACACCTACTACATTAAGGGAGGTTTAAAAAGGTTTAAAAATTCAAGGAATTCTTTCGATACTTTTTAGTGTATTGTTTGAACTTCCAATTATTTCTGGTCTACAAGCTTAAAAAAATTCAAATATTTCTCAGCATACTTTTTATCTTGACTTTGTATTTTTTTATATCCATTAGGAACGCGATCAGTTGAAGATAACTCACGTGATAGTGCCGAAGCAGACTGGCACCGCGGACTCGTGCAGCACCAACAATGAAGAGGAGATATTCCATTACCAGGATCAGCATAACTTGATTACACTCGGTTGGATACATGTAAGTATTTTATCCCCGTTTTTTCAAAGGAAATGAGAGAGATGGAAATATATTTACAAGTGTTTGGATAAACCCATAATAGAAGTATTGTTTCGTATTCCAGACACATCCAACACAAACAGCGTTCCTGTCGTCAGTGGACCTACATACGCAGTGTTCCTACCAGCTTATGATGCCCGAGGCAATTGCTATCGTCTGCGCACCCAAATATAACGAGTATGTATACATTTTTATAAAAAACGAGCTTCCCTGTGGCTTCATGCGCATATAATTATAAAAACTTTATTTTAGTTGTTAAAATTTGTCAATTTTAAATGTCAAATTCAAGTTACCATGGCAACCTGGCTTCCTTGATGTTGTCAGCTGGTAGTTTATATTCCTTTTCCCACAAGACAGTTTTTTTTTTTAATTCATATACCCCTAAATTTAAAAGCGTGACAATATATTATTTTATTTACAAGAAAAAAAATATATGAAATAATTACTCGAAATTATGCTGTGATTTCTGACATCCTACGCCACGAGGTAATGTGTTTACGCTTTATTATATTAGTATAGAGTATAGATAAAATGATTTTTGTGTTTTTGTATTGAACAATAAAATTATGTTTGTATTCTATTCCAGAATCGGTTATTTCGCTCTAACACCGGATTATGGGATGCAGTTCATAGCGAATTGTAGACAGAGCGGTTTCCATCCTCATCCAAATGACCCGCCTTTATTCTATGTGAGTGTTGTTACCTTTTAAGCTGATTTGATCCATTTTCTCATAATTTTAAGGTTTCTTTTCGGTTGCTTTTTCAGGATGTGACGCACATACGTCTTGATAACAACGCTTCAGTAGAAATGATAGATCTTCGGAGGTGAACATCCAAATTAGTATTGTCTTGCATTTATATCCAGTCAATGTTCAGCTTTAGGTTATATGTTCAATCTATTAGTCACTACCAATGTCATGTTCTCCTAGTACTTGCTCAGATATAAAGTTATTTATTTATGTTATGTATGAAAAAAATGTTTTTTTTTTCGCTATGTGATTTAAAAGATACTCAGAATAGATGAATCTTGAATTGTAAAGTAATCAAAACTTAATAATAAAATGTATCGAAAATGCTTTTATATGTTAAATACACGATTGGAAGGAAAACGCCTTTTAGTGTTTTGAAATTCAAAGCGGCAATTGTGATTATATACGTAAATGACAAGCTTGTGATATACTAGTATTAGTTAATTCTTTTTAACAAAGAAAGCAGAATAAAAATTTGTTGCAATATGACATAAGCAGGAACAATAATGTTTGTGTAAACCAAATAATTATAATTGTCGATCAGTACTTTTGTATAATGAAGTAATCGTATTTTAAAAGCAAAGTTATTGTTCAATATTACATAGAAATGTTTGTCGCATTTAGTCGTTAATATTTATTTTACATCAATATAACTTAGTATTTATATTTTTTTACATTTTATGAGGGAAAAAATCTTGTTTACTTACCCATTGAGGTGCTGTGCCATTGCAAAATAAAATTACCAAATTTGCATTTATTACTTAAGAAACGAAGATGTAATAATTGTGATTTTTTGTAAAGATTTGAACAAATATATAGTCATCTCTTTCACTCACTTTAAACAAACAGAGACAGCATTTATTTGTACAGTACAGATAGTAAAAAAGTTATGCTTTCAAACATTTAATAACAGTATTACTTGAAATCGAATATTTGCTATGTCGTTATATTTTTTTTGTGTTTAACATTAAAATGAGTTTTTAATATATTTGTTTTAAATTATTATCAATTTAAGATGTGTTATTGTTGCAAAATGTAACAATTTTTTTTCGTTTAAATGCACAATTATTTTGTTGGTTTTTTCTGACATTTTGTATTTTTGATTGTGTTTTAGGGAATAGATTGCAATATTATTTTTAAATAGTGTGACTAGGAATATAGAAACCTTTGCCATATTGCGGAAAATGGATTTTTTTTTTCATGATAAAAGCGATTGAAGCGCCCTCTGCTAGGATTTTTATATTCTTGGTTAAACCATTGCAAAATGTTTTCATAAAAGCCTCTGCAGCTGTCATATGAAAATTCATTAAACAATTACCTTTTTCATGCACTGTATATTATGTGATTTATGGACCAATGTAAATAAAACATTTATAACCGCATAGAGTTTATTTTTTATTGCACAATAATTGATATGTTTGTGAAATAAGCCATCTGTGTACGACAAAAACCTCTAAGTGAGAATACATTTGAGAGGTACAACAGCATATGACTGAGTTAAGTCAGTTTTTAAATAGAACATACCAAATTGTAATAAATATATTATTATTTGGTATGCTAAGTTTAAAAAAATAGACTAAGGCGTTGCTTTTATATCTTTCTTTTCCCTTATAATTATAATCTAAAGCGAAAATTACTATAACAAAAAACTTCAATCATACATTTCTATGACTTAGCATACATTTATATATTTAAAACATATTAGACAGTGATAAATAGAATTTGTCATTGATTTTTGACAGTTGCATATAACCTATTTTTTGCAAAAGAATAAAAGAACGAGAAGGTGTGATACAACGGCCTAAACATATGTAAGTGATTTTTCAATTACTACTTTTATAATTAACTACAATTTTACTACTACAATGCTACATTTTTTTACAAACTACAGTTTTAAGGCACTTTGTGCATGATGCTCATCATTTATATACTTACAATTTTATCCTATATGTTAAATGACACTACTAAAATTAAATAACAGATAAACTATTATAATTAATTTCTTTAATTTTAGTATCAACTTTGATAAAATTTTATAAGACTTTTAAAAATTGTATTGCTTTTTTCATAACTATTCTTAAATGCATACTTAAAATTACACTACACGCGATAGCAATGCTACAATAAATTTAATAAAAAACATTAATAAACTGTTTTTCTATTAGTTAATTCAATTTTAAAAATACAAAGTGCAAATTCTTACTACAATCAAAACTACGTGGAGTAAGTTATTTAAAAACATTGTACACAGGCACTCGTTCATTTATAATTGTTCGTAATTATTATAATTATTTAACTAATGACATACATTTAAAACTATACTAATATTAAATAGAGTTTGCGTTAGATAATTTAGCTTCGAAACTTATTTTTTAAGCATTATAAAGCTTTCTTAGAGTAACATAAACTTAAGGTAATATAATATATTCTACATAAATGGGAAGAGTATGAATACGACAGAAAGATATGCGGAATGCGGATCGCTAATAGCTAATAATTTGATAAATAATTTTGCTAGTAATTTATTGCAGGAGCTACAAAAGAAGTCTCGTTTCATTACAGCTTAGAATTTTATTAACTTATCTTAATTATAATCTAGATATTAAATATTATTTCAAATAACATTAATTGTTTTCCATAATTGCGTTACTACAATTTATTGGTTTCTAACAAAGAGTGAAAAGAAGCAGACTATACTACTTTTTAAAATGATTTTTTGTTATCTATATTTTTTCGCGGTCGTTTAATTTCAAAATGTCAATATTCGTGCATTTATAATCTATGACAATAATCGATTTTCGAATTTCACTTTTTATTAACCTTTTTAATAAAAGTAATAAATAATCTAGAAAAATGGCAGTTTTCACCGTTTTTAAGAATAATTACAAGGTAAGTCATGTATTAACATATATGAATAACTAGAAAATGTTTTGTTGTACATAGTTTCTTTTCTACCAAATGACCTAAAACATCAAAATAGAAAGAATTAGGCAAGAAAACAGGGTAGATATTTCTGTGTTGGTGGCAGAGCTGGTCATTTTCCTAGCTTTAGAAGGTGGCTCGATGTGTATGGTCTTGTTCATCATCCAGTAATACACGTCGGTGAGGCCCTGGTCGTTAAGTTCTGGGCCAACCGTCTTACGAATGCGTTCGTTGTACATGTTCAACCAGTTTATCTGTTAAAATGTTTTGTCTGAATTAAAAGTATCAGAAATAGTATATATTACAATTTCTTTGATGAAATAAAATTTACCTCATATTCAGTTAACAAGTTTCTATCAATTAGTTTGGGTTCGAACGGTAATAGCGTCGCTTCGTGGAAGCCCAAGTATCCATTAGATTTGGCAACTACTTCCAACACGTTCCCAAGCCTTATACCGAACTTTCTTGGCTCGTACCATGCTGGTTCTAAAATACAAGGTGAATAATAAGTAAATAGGGATATACTTCTATGGTAGTAACTAGTTAATTTAACTTACCGCTTGTAACAAAATATCCTTCTCTAAACGTGTGCAAATTTGTGTCTTGTCTGTAGTCGATTACAACGGGATCTGAAACAAAAAACGTAACTAAAGAACAGGTTAAGTTCCACATTAGTATATTTTAAGGTCATGGATTCTTCATATTTCTCCAGTACTGACATAATAGAATTAGGTAAACTTCTTACAAATACAAGAGAGTATACCTTCGCGTCTATTCAGCGCTGCTCCGACACCGTGTCCAGTTATCGAGGGATAATCCTGCTTGGCAACCCATAGCGGAGCCCTGGCGACTGGATCCGCGTGGGCGGCGGGCAACGTGCTCGGCATCTGCAGGGTGCTAAGTGCAGCCAGCGAACGCAGCGTAGTGGTATATGCTCGACGCTCCTCCCGTGAAGGCACGCCGTAGTGAACTGTGCGGGTTACCACTGTAGTCCCCTCTGTAACCGAGGAAGCACAAAGGTTTCAGACACCGTAAGCTTACTGTGTTCTATTTTAAATCTTGTTTCAATTAAAAGTCTCTTACCATCATACTGCCCTCCTGACTGTATGACCATCGTGGAGTTGAGCAGCACTCGCCTGCTTGTAGTATTAATGGCGTAGTATTCAGGTTCTGCGGCGCTGGCACCAAAAGCGACCCGTGTACGCATCGCTAGACCTACATAGCCCGCCTGTGTTGCTCGTGTCACATCTACTTTCATTGCCACTGATAGCTCGTTTAGACCTGCCTTGCCCTGTATTATAAAAAAATATAATACAGTAATCTGATTTAAGGTTATAGCCTCCCTTGTAATTTACTCGCCGACTAGGTTCGAGTTCACGAATGCGCTATTCTTTATACCTCGAGACTCTAAAGACTATTAAGACTGCCTGTAAGTTAATTAAATACCAAATTTTATGACATTCCATTTTTTAAGGAAAAATAAAATTAAGCCGAGAATCTTACAAACAACAAATATTACCTTTTGCAAACTTAGGTGAGGGTAAATGTGTTGCATTTTATTTACTAACCATACTCTCAATGTAACTCAAAACCGTGCACATCGCGACAGCATCTCGTAAATGCGCCTTCTTCATTCCTTTGATCTCAGCTTGGTTCTTCTGTGCTTTGAAATAGATAATGGGAGAAGACTGGAAGAGTCTCTTTGACTGCGGGACGCTCTGCGCGATTGCGGCAGATGCCCCTCTTTGGAACGTGTCTCCAGTCGGAATGAGAATCTTGGTCTCAGTCGCTCGTCGGAGGTCGGAGTAAATTGTAGTGTATTCATTAACCCTGGGAGATATATAGAATATGATAGAATGCCTGATACAGGTGAAGGGTGTACGTTAGCGGTAAATAAAGTTAATAGTTACCGTGTACAATTATTAGAAGACGTATAACAATTGTAGACCGCCAAGGCCTCTCGGACCGGCATGGACAGTTTTCCCGGGGGCGCGTACACGCGGACCTCTTTCATACTGACGACGACGAATGCCTTGAGAAGCGGGGCGTAGGGCAAGTCGCGGCCGCGCACGTTCAACAACCACGCCACCTCGTCCAGGGCTGTCACCACCATCGCATCCGCGCTCAGCTCGCGGAGCTCGTGTCGTACTGCCGACACTTTGTCGCGCCAGGACATCCCTAAACAATTTCAGAGAAAGTAGTAATATATATATATATAGGTATAGAAAATGATTATTATTATTATTACATCCAAACTCACCAGTGTACTCCAGGTGATGTAGATTAGCAACAATCCTTGAGAAGTCGGGTCGGCGCAGCATAGGGTTGGGCTCGTCAGCCCACAGCTGGTCGAGCAGTGTGGGCGTGTGGATCAACTGCATTCCTTCGCGCTGCAGGCTGCTTGACAGGGCTTGCCACTCGGTGACAGACGTCAGCCGCGCGTCCGCTCCCACGCGACCATTGCGACCCGGACGCTCCTGTGCCAGATGCTTTAGAATTACCCCTCATAATGTTTTTTAAGGATACTAGTATCAATATTAAAAATTAAGGTGTCATAGTTCTGTGGTATTTCTGGCCATACCGCTATCCACTCTGCAATATTGGGCTGGCTGGGGTCGTTTTCGTCGATGACGAGCCAGGCGCAGGAGACGACAGCGCGAGCGCGGCGCACATCGCTTCCAGACACCCAGAGGGCTGCACCGCCCTCGCTGACAGCTGCTGTGCCTGCGCCCGCCCACCCGCTGATGTACTGCAAGCGACGCTCCTCGGGAGCTGGTTCCTCACTCTGTATAGAAAGTGTTACATGGAGGATAATATCTATATTCCATAGCCATAGTTCTAACACATGTGTTTATTATTATTTGCTCACCAAATGCTCATCACTGTAAAAGATCAGGAAAGCATCAAAGAATGCGTTCATCTGTGTGTAACTGATGTTTTTCATCGCGCTGCGCAGTCTGCCGAGCGGGTTGGCGGGGTCGGTGGCGTCGGCGCAAATAGCCTGCGTCGCAGTCGGCAGCTCCTGCACGATGGTGAGGGGGTCCGGCAACCGGGAGACCAGCGCCGGCATGGCGGTACTTGTGGTGCTCGTCGTCGGTGTCGGCTGCTGAGGGTTACGAACTCCATCGCAACCTGCAGTGAGTAAATATCATGGTCACTGAAAGCTTTTTTTTCTTACTTAGGGACAGGTTTTACATTTGTTGTAATAATTTGTTGTACATCTTTCTTTACAGTGTAAATATTTGTTAGCTTTAATAGTTGGAACTATGTATTTTTGTGAGATATTGATGACTTCTGGAATACCTACCCAAAAAAACTTAAAACGTCAAAGTTATAATTGCAACCTATGGACTTAAATCTTTTAATAGTATAAATACATAAGTACATAACAGAAATCAATGCTTCTAGTATTTCCCGCTACGCGCTCTATTGTATGTATCCCTTTGTAAGTTAGCTTTAAGTTGCGACGTCGCCCTTAGCAACCGAGAGAGATGTAAGCTTTCTGCATCTCGCTCAAAGTACACACGGCTCGTAAAAGTTCATCTGACGGTGAAAGCGGCTAGCGACAGCAACGTTGGCGGCGCGGGAATGTACCAGGATGCCATATCCAACACGAAGGTTAAACTTGAAAGAGCTTCCAGAAAGCTCGTGCGTGCGACAAGGACAGTCAAAACACGCACCCTACCTTTTTCAACACTTTCCCTTATTCCTGTTATAAAGGGGCGGTACCAGTTCACGTTGTAAGTGTTACGTTTGTGTTAGTGAAGTTAAAACGACGATTAATGATATTTGTAAAGGATGGGAATAGCATTCAGAAATAAATAAATGTAAAAAATAAAGAAAAAACGATACTTTGGCAAAGTAATCTGTGATTGTCCAATCCGCGACGCGGGAGGTACCCAAGGGATGCGGTATGAAATATTGGACTGACGTCAACAACTAACAGGACCTTATAAGTCGACAGGAGATGATTTTTATTCTCATTTTAGATTCCTCTGCTTACTAATTATTAAAAACAATAAGGATGTAATTGACAAGAATTTACATTAAAAGTAAATACAAGCAACGAAATAATCTTGTATTTGGCTGTAACATATAAAAGGCCACACAATAAAATATTTAACTAGTGACGAACGTTAAAACGTCTCCTTGACTGACATGGGCATCTTTAAAGAAGAGGACCTCGAAAGGAAAACCTTTGTGATTAATTTTTGTTTATAAGACACAACTTTCAATAACAAACTGAAACTTAACCAATCTTAAGTCGCAAAAAGGAGAAATATTTCTTAAGGACCGCCCCGTTATCCCTTAGGATTTCTGTAGGCATTCCCAAAGGGACAAAATATCCTGCGATTTACCAGGGCAACATAATAATGTAAGAGGTTGGCGTGACGCGTCGTCCTGCGCAAGGATAAGACACTCAAGGATAACCAGGCAACGACCGGAGAGTGCAACGGCCGCTCACTTGCACTGCAGCCGGCGATAAAATGCAGTCGCATGTTCACTTACAAATAACACAGTGAATTAATAAAATCAGTTGCTCAAACGTGCAAAAATGTTAGTGTCAAAAATGTAAAAAAAAAAATAGCCAAAAGGTAGAAATTAGAAAAAAATATTTTATGGATTTTGGGAATATTTGATATTTAATTTTACTACGAATTTGTGACTATAACTTACTCGTAATACAAAAAATGTATAATTTCGGTTTCAAAATAACTCAATATAAGAACCCCATTTGCGAGCTAAAGCTGATACTACAGTCTATAACATAACGGAACCTGAAACAAATTAATTTTAATTTACGCGAACTGATGTCAACTCAAATCTTTTTCCAACATTTCGTCCTGGCTAAAAATAATAACTTTTATTATTAACAGCGCCATCTATCTCACATTCGAAAAAAAAACAGCTATTTAAAGATTGCGATCGAGATAAGCTTCTTGTGTTGTTTTAAACAGAAAAAGTAGGTTTCTGTAGGAATCTGAACTTAGTTTATCTATCTTTAGACCTAGAATTCTAGGTTTTACTCATTATAGTAAGATTATTGATATCAAAGAATCCAAGTGTACATTTTACCACAACGTTATTCCTATTCGAACCTACAACCGTGATCACAATGAACTTCTAAACTAAATAAAAAAAGTGAAACATGAAACAATGGATTGCTCCCTTTTTCTACCAGGAAGATATAAATCGAGTGGAGATCGTTTTTCGAAAGCAAACAATAGTTGTCGAAAGGACGTCGTCAGACATGGCCGCGGTTGACCACTCCCGAGAATATTTTCTGACCAATGAGATACTCTCAGGATGAATCGTTGTAAACCGGGATGGCTGCTTTTGGTATAAAAAAATTCTGACCGTGTTTTAGTTAGTATCTGTAAAACGAAATTAAGATGAAGTTTCCCGGATACGAAGCGCACATGACGTCACATTTTACCAAGGCTGCATAACATAGGAAGAGGTCTTCCTAAGCTCCGTGCCCGGGAAGGGAGGCATTGCCTTGTAGTACTACGTATCCTGTAGCAATAGTTTTTTCGGTTTAGATTATTTAAAATATCCTAAGGATGTGTGAGAGTCCTGTAAATTCCTGTATTGTAATATTCCAGACCAAATTATTGTTTTTTAGTGTTCTTTGTCTATGTTATTTGCATTTTGCATGTTTTGTTGCTTTGGTATATTTTATTAAATTGTAATCGGGCCAATGATCTATGCTGGCCGGCTAGATTCAATGCGAATTACTAGGAGCGCTCAAATCATAGATAATTCAATTCGCATACTTAGTGTTAGACAAACAGGAAATTTAAATACCTTTCTTTAATTTGATAAAACAATAATAACTATATCTATTGATGATATTTAATTGAAGAATTGCAAATATATCTCACATGTTCAATCTAAAAGGAATAAGTAAATGTTTCTTTGATCTTTATGATATGCAGCCGCGTGTGAATATAGTCTCTAAGCCATGAAGGAAAGGTGGAGGCACTTTTATACCTATCCTTGTCGTACAACAGGAAATGCATTTGAAAGTAAGTAAACGCAGAACGAAGCAAAGTAGTGTTGTTTCGTAAAACGGTAAAGTACACGTTAAAGTACGAACGCATCTCTTTAATTTCGCTGGTGCTCTGGTGCAGTAGACACTTTTGACGCATGTCACTGCGTCATGGGGGCGTGTGCACGCTGATTTTGCCTCTTATTATTTACAATTTTGTTTTATTTTTATAACTCTTTGTTTTAAATAACACAGAATACAACATTCACGCGACGTTTATTACCAAACAAAATAAAACGTCCTTTTTAAAATGATTTTTTTTCATTATATGTTGAAAATTTTTAATCACCAAAGGTAATTTTTAATTAAAATGACTTATTTCAGAAAAAAGATTTGAATCTCTGATTACTTAAACTTAATTACTACAACCCTATACTGAACACTTTGCTAACTAACAAAACTGGCTAAATCATTTCTAAAGCAGGAATAAGCACTTACGCGCATGTTATACCTTCACATGTGTGCCTTACAAATACGGTTCAAAGGGTTGAACATGTGAGTTACATGTACCAGGGTTACAAAGATGTTAAGGAGTCCCTGTGTCACACACGACACGCGTGTGAGTGCTCCCCGGACGTAGGGGCTGCGGCTGGAACATGGGTGTGTTTGTGCGTGACAAGGATCGCGAGGAAGAAATATTTGGCATTCCCGTCTCAAATGAAGCATACAAACGCGATTGAAATGGGAGCTATTCTAAGCAGTAGTTAATGAAATAAGTAAATATTTTCTTTATTCTAAACATAGAATAGAGAAAAATTACCTATATTTATAAACCAAGAGGTTTGTAAATATAAGTAGTTTTTTTATTTACTGTATGTTACTAGTGCCATCTTACTTCTTACTAATATTATAAACGCGAAAGTTCAGATGGGTGGATGGATGGATAGATGTTTGTTAGAGTTTGTAGCCTTAACGGTTGAACAGATCTCGATGAAATTTGGCATAGACGTAGATGATAGTCTGGAAGAACACATAGGCTAACTACTTTTGTTTTTTTTTTTTAATTTCACGCGGACGAAGTCGCTAGCGAACGCTAGTACAGGAAAAAACGACTGTCATTTTCATTACACTGCATATGATATATTGAAACAGGAACATTTATATGCGATTTCATTTAAATTTAAATGAAAGTGTATGTCTTTTATTGGTTTTAAGTTATATTTGTGAGATTTGAAGATTTTTAGAATACAACACACGTGTCAATCACTATTTATATGTATATAGTTTCAACTATTTTATCTATTTAACTGGTTTTCCAAAAGAATGAGGTTTCTCTACTTTATTAGGACTTTTTTAGAATCTAAGAATTTTTTATAACCGCGTTCATTAATTTTTACATTAGGTTACATATTTATTTTAAGGTTATTAAAATAACTATATTTTAATTATTTATAGGCACTGTGAAGAATTTAAGAAAACAAACGAACACATTCCATTCGACTTCTTTTGGTGTATGTCCTCCTGGTAGCGGAGATTCAAGTGAGGCCATCTTTGTCGAAATGATTGTCGACGCCATTTTGTTTGTTGAATCGGTGCCATGAAGAATAATTTGAGGTAAATACTTCTTTACCCTCAATGTTTCTACAAATCTTAGTAGAATTTTCTTATAAATAATTACGTAGTTCCCTAAAAAATATTTCTGTGTAAGTTAAAATGTCTCGGTAAGTTAGAAAGTTTTTATTACAGAAGTGAAGTGTTGTTGAAACTCTGAGCACAGTGGTTTCGACATTTTTATTCCTTTTGTTGCATTGCAATGTTTCTGCAATCGATTGATCACAGTAGAAATTCAAAGCGCTCCGTGAACGATCAAGCTTTCTTTAAATAATTACGTTTTTGTCCATGTTTGAATTTTTTATCAGTCGAATAGCATCTGTAACCCATAGCTTCTAAAATAGGAAATTGGAAATGAGTTCGTTTTTTTAAAACTGTCGTCGGAATGGCGAAATCAAAAAAATAAATAACATAGACAAAATGTCATAGATCAGTGTTTAGAGAGATGACATCGTAAGTTACATTTTTATAAAAAAATTCCAAAACCACTCACTCACCGCGGGGCACGCCAAGGGAAAGGGACTGTTCCTTACAAAAAGCAAAGCCCTTTCGATTTCCTTGCTAGCTATGTTCTCCTGGTACACAAAGTCATTGGGAGTGACATGTCCATTATTCCTCAACCTTTTTTTATTTTTAACACTTCCAAATTAACTCCACTTTAATACGTGCCTATTTATTATCAGATAATTATTGCTAAGTAAACAGAACATAGCTGATGAATTATTTCTATTGTTACCAGTTACTAGCCATTTTATTGGTAGTGTGAAAAGTAACTTACCACACCATACCACAATACTTTTTACAATCACTTTCATTTTTGTTTATTGTAAAAAAAAATCATTATTAGTACAACATTAGGAGCCCTTTAAATTATTTATAATAAAATACTCCGTACCAGGGGAACAGAAAGTGTGTGGAGATAATAAGGGCCGAGAGAAGGGCCCGTCACAAATTCAAGGTTTGCTTACGCAATGGGCGTGGTTTCTTCGTCCAATCGCGAGAGAGCGTCTTACGCAAGAAGCTACGCACTCGGGGCGCGGGCCCTTCTGCTTATAGTCTACAGATATTGTGCGTGCTGTTCGCTTCTTTACACGCGAATACTATCGCTGTAGGTATTTACTAATACTTTGGACCTTTGCTTTAGTACTTACAGCCTATTTAATTTTTTTTAAACATATATATAGGTTGATTAAACAATTTTAACAAAATCAACGGATTTTGACGGACATTTAAAACGTTAATATATTCTCTATTTAAGATTCCATGTTCCCAGAAAATAAATAAAATAGCTCTCTGTTCGATGGACTACCAAAAACAATGCCGAAAAGATAAACTATAAAGCTTCTATTGGAAAATGAATCCGTCGCATACAGAATGAGATCATTGCCAAACATAGACATTTTATACACCTGAAAATGTTGCTCTTCCCTTTTAGTCCTAGTCAGGGCAAAGTTCCTACGCGATAATAACTTAACGAGACGTCGCTCTATCAGTTATGCCGTCCTGGTACAGACGTCGGTTACGTTACCGGAACGTGGTATGACATAATTTTCTTCATTGCGTTCATTGTTCCTTTGCAGTTGTTTTCTTTCGTCTTTATCTTTTGTATTATCTGATCAATACAAACGCTTCTACTTACACAAAAGTATAATTTTTACATCTATTATAACGTTTATTTGCATTAAGACGTTGTTTATAACAAATAATTGGCATATAAACGCTTATCGATGAATTAGGGAGGGACTGCGTAGGGTGGGTAGGGCAGGGCCGTATTGGAAATGTATCGGCGATTGCTGATAATGTCGAACCGTTCGGAAAATACCAAGGCAACATAGATGCGAGATGGTGCCGTGAACAGAAATCGATGAGAGAGAACCCACGAATTCGATTAGGTATAGATATAATGTTATGTATAGTCAGGGGAGCGATAGCGCTCACTGGATGTTACCGCCCACGTTTATTATTTCGCAATTCGCAAATTAACGATGGTCAGAAGTATACACACACTATAAATGGAAAACGATATGTATACCTTTTACATATTTATTTTCTTGTTATTTTTAACTTTGGTACTTATAATAAAAAAAAATATTAATACGTGCAAGACGTGTAGAATAAATATTTGACAATTGATAAACGATCTATCACTTCAAATAAGATCTCCTCCCCCGAGTCGAAAAATTATAATGATATGCGTAATTAGATGGAAGAAGTATTAGGATAACATACTCGGCAAGAGGAAACATAAGGGCAGACCCTTGAGAGGGGAGGTTATTCTGGGCGGTTATCTTATTTTATTATCACCACACGCTGGGCAGGGATATGCGCTGCCCGACTGCGCGTTGTTCTCATCCTGAAAGTTTACAGTCTGGCGTGATCAGGACTTCATAATTGTGTAGTGGTTAACTCGCTGCATCATTCATTCTTCCCTGAAGTAGGCGGGGAATGTGGTTGGTGTGGGTGGTTACTATGGCGACATCGTTGCCCACTGATACCAGAGCATAATAAACAAGAAGATATAATTTTAGACCAAGTCGTCATAAACCCTTTGTACTCTTAGTCCTACTAAATTAGACTATGATTTGTCCGACCGCGACGTCGTCATTGTCTTGAATAAAATTCATTCAATCGAAAAATGCACTATTTCATACTGAATTTTTTATTGCAACTATACAGATACTTTTCAGCTATTCTGGAGTAATGAAATCGTAACAATGCCAGAGTTGGATTTTTTAGGAGTTCCATGTTTTTCAGCTCTGGTACTGTTAAGCAAAATTAATATTTCAATATATTTTATGAACAAACGACGTTGGACTAATAGGACTAAATGCCCCATAGAGTCCTTCTTGTTTTTCTTTCGTGTAAATTAATATGAATAATGTACACTGAGGGACAGCTTTCTTTATTTTGAACTTTTTATTTCGTGATTTTGAATCTTTTAAAAGAGTGGTCGGTTGCGTTGCCAAGTGGTCGTCGCGACGGGCCTGTGGTGCGCGGCCACGCTACCAGGCGTGCAGCCCGCCGAGGCGGTGAGCGATGCAAAGTGCATTCACCGCCCCGCCTGCTGTCGCCGCTTCTGTGTGCATTTCACAAACACAACTGCATTCGTACGGTTCAGTGCACTTAGCGGACGGACGCTTGCAACATTGAGAATTGTTTATTTTATAACCAAATGGGAGTGTATAAATGTTTGTTATAACTGGTCATAATGAAATATTATTTTTTTGGGTTGATCTATAATTTAACAACTTTATATTTAGTCTACTGTATAAGATCACTATTTTTTTTTGTTTTGGACCATTGTTGTTGTTAGGATCTAAACAAAAGTGAATAATATTATATAAAAAAGGCGGATTTGATCCCCGATGCATCCATCCCGGGCATCCACTGCACCAATGAAATTAACTCTCGGACGGGCGACATCTATTGACATGCTTGAGCAACAACTTCATGTTCATAGATGTCGCTAGTGATAAGTTTTTTTTAAAAAAGAACGAATTATACAGCCCTTAAGGGTAAAGTTAATATGAAACTTAATATGCACAATAATTCTGAAAGAAATATCTACTTAATATAAGATTTGTATACGTCTATGTAAAAGCTTTCACCAAAATTCACTGGAAATGTTAAAAAAGCCTAAAATTTCGTACGGAATAAAAAGAAATTGTGGACCATTTATTGTAGCCGTCCATCTTGCGGTAATAAAGACAATGACCATCATTTGTCACCGGCCGGGGTCCGCACGCAACCTGCGGCCCCTTCACATTTAACTCCGTCACAACCCTCGCCCAATTTCCCTTCACGTCACTCAGATATGATGCGACTTATTGTTTTGTTTCCGAATTTGTACATTAATTTATATCTAATTACTTTAATGACGTACTTTAATGACATGTTACGATTTTAATGTTCATACGACATCACGTTACAAGAGATAATAAAACGAATGAAACGGGTTAGTGGGGCGAGTCACCCGAGCGGGACGGGACTACGGGCGCGCCGAGGCCTTTACAAAGCGTCACTTCGACGATATGATCCCCTGGTAGATATTTATTTTTATGGGCTAGGGATAAATGTCAGGGGAGTGCCGGCGGGCGGCGCCTTACGGGCGTGCGTTTACGATTCGCCTTCGCGAAATGAACCTATTTTGTACGTAACACTGCTATTATTATTTATATAACTATCTATTATGTTATTTTATCATTTCTGTTAAATTAGTTCGTAATTTCGTAAGCTAAAATACAATAATACCAACGAGTGTCATAAATTCTTTGCCTCGGAATTGAAAACATTGTTAAGAAGCATAGTTCAGTAGACCAAAATTATAAGATAAACTTTTCTTTTACCACCTATGGAATTTTGTGTAACCTTCTATGATATTATGTTCTCCTAATACATACGGAATATCAAGCATCCCATATTTCTCACGCTGGATCGTGGGAATTGTTAGTGTTGTCTTTTTCTAGCTCCCGGCGCATTCCAATCTGTCTCTTTTTAATCCCTTGATTATATTGAACAGCGCTGCAAGGCAAGGTGTTTTCTACATCGATGTTTTATTTTAATATGCCGCTGAGAATTTGTTTAATTATTTGATATACATAATATATACAGTTATGATAACGAGTAGCCAGAGTTATGGAGAAAGAGAAAAAAATTGACGTTTTGTCTATTTTTTTTATTATTTGCCATTTTTTTTTCACGCAGTCCATCAATAACCTTATTTTTTATTTAACTGTAGATTGTTTAGATGAAGCAATTATACCTTTTTAAACTCCTATCAAAGGGCAGTGATCTCAGGGATCCATCTTATTATAATGTAGGCCATTATACTTTGTGCATTTTTTATTAAATTAACATGTAAATGTTATAATGTATTGCGTTAAAACTGAAAATAAGGTGTCCATGCTACCATTAGCGTAGGATGTCATGAAATTGAGCTGATCGATTACGTTTAAACAAAACCGCGACCGGAAGTGGCGCCTCGCGTTGCTCGCCCTTGCTTTTGGGTCATATCCGGGGAACATTCTACCCGCATCCGAGTAGATAAAAAGTAAAATGTATTTCTTAAAAATTCGATTACTGCCTTTAGACTTGTTTGTCATTAAAAGGTGCTAATAATAATAAAATAATAAACTTAATATCTCCGTGTTTTCATAATCCTTTTGGAAGAAATTTTATTAGTTTCGAATATGAGTAATGTGTACCAAACGTATTGATAAGTCAAATAAAGGTATTTGCTATAGCGCGTATCTCAGTGTTACTGAGAATCAAACTGGGTCGTTATCATACTACACCATACCATACCACGACATTTAAAGGTTAGCTCGGCCGAAACGTATATTACATACTTAACAATATGTCGAAGACACAAATTGTGGAAATAAAATTTTCTACTACCTTTCGTTCGCGACTGCGTGCGCGTGAAATTAAATAAAACAAAAGAAAGTAGACTATGTGTTCTTCGAGACTATGCTCTACATTTATGTCAAATTTCATCGAGATCCGTTCAGCAGTCTACAATCTTTGACATCCAACCATCTAAAACTTTACATTCATAATATTCGTATTAGTAAGATAAGATTCCAGCCAGTAGCTTATTTTTTGTTATGTAAGCCTGTGTTTTGGTAAGATACTTGGAAAAAAAATTATGGGCGTAAGTTATATATTGTGGTTCGTGTAATAAGAACATTAAATTATGCACTTGTCTGTTCGGTTGTAAAACTTCCAAATGGCGTCCTTATCGCGGATTGAATGTATGGAAAATGCAGGAACATAACATTTTCTTAATTTTTTTAGAATTAGAACTTGGAATTATTAAAACCTCGGCTGAAAATGTGTCGTGGGTTCGAATCCACTATTATAGTAATACTGAGTTGTTGAAGTTTCCATTTAATTTATCATTAATTAACTAGTGATTCGTTAATGTAAGGTTGACCTAAGTTGTAAGAGAATAAAACTTCAGTCAAACAAATTTCACGAAGTTATCGAACTAAAAATACTAACGAATGTGGTAATGTAGCTGGGAAACTGGCGTGAATAATCTAAATCTTAAAACTTAGAAACAACTACGAATGGAATGTGTAAGGAAACATTAGAACAGTACTAAGTATTAGAGCTGCCAGCGCCCTGGGCGAGATTTTGGCAGTGCCTAATTTTTATTTAACTCTATCTAGCTTTTCTTGCTAGTGGGATGAACAGGTTGGTGAGATGAACTGTAGCATCCCTTTCAGTACCCTGGGCGGTTGCCCAAGCGCGCTATATTATAACCCCAGCTTAGGGGTCAAAGTAGCAAACTTTGTAATCTTTTTAATTATTGTTAAATGTAGATGAAAATAGCTTACCTGTTAAAATAGCTGCGACTGCGATTAAATGCACCGCTACTATCAACTCCATTGTTTCTTTTGTGAAGTTCCACTGGTTTTTAAATAATGTTTTACTTTCGACGGTCAATTCGTTATCTTAAAAGACAAAAGGTTATCGCTTCTGACATTACTTCATGGATTTGCAAATATTATGCGTTTTGTATGGAAGTAATAGATTGGTATTTTAAAAAGTATCAGAATGAAGTCATAGTGGATTTCTTAGTAAATTCGCTTCGAAGGTTGTGAAAGAAGTGGATTCACAAGCCGCGGTCGTCACTGTCTGACGGGGTTTCATCCTGGCGTAGCTCGCCATGCGCCCCTTTAACCCCACCACCCTTGGGAGCG